TTTTACTTTATAAAGAGTTAAACATTGCAACAAATAAAGATTGAATGGATTAGAAGAACAAGAGGACTGATCCGCGGGAAGTTATGGTGTATATTCTGAATTCTTGGGAGTTGATCCGCATTCTAGGCACACGCCCGTGCACGTTCCGCGCGTTCACGTGCTTGGTTCAGCGTGCGGAACGATCCGCAGCAATCCGCACTGATCCGCATTCTAGTAACGCCCCTTAGTTAGCTTCAAACACGGCATAGACCCTGATGGCAGCCAAAGCACCAGGTCAGTATTTTGTTTATACTTGATTATGACTCGTGTGTTGTTACTATTAGTGTATCATTAACGGTTACTGTTACCTCTTGTTATCTATAGACTATCAACCAGTGAAGAGGTGGGATCACTCCACTGTACGGGTAGGAGACTACCTGTACATGTGGGGTGGGGCCCAGCCTGGTCTCCCTGCAGTATATACATAATAATCAAGAGAAGAAATCAATGTGTTCTGTGATGGAGGTGTGTCACCTAAGGACTGGTAGGTGGGAGCAGAAACCCACCACTGGTAACCCTCCACTGGGTGTTAAGAGCTATGCAGCTGCTGCCATTGGAAGGGAAATATTTTATTTCGGAGGCCATTGTAATCATGATGGCTGTTTTCATAATAGTTTGTACAGGTAAACATAATAGTTACTGATAAAAATTATTATTAATATAGTTTTAATGTTGATACCTTCAATTGGAAGGAACTCTCTCCTACTACATCTCATCATGGTCCTATGATGAAGCACCTCTGTGACATGATAGCAATAAAAGTGAACGGTGAGGACTATCTTGTAGTAATTGGAGGATATGGACCATCTTCTTATAATACATCTCAACAACCTGGTGCCCAGTACTATGAGGCTGAAGGATTAGCTTCTGGTCATCGACAATGCAATGAGATCCATTTCTATAAACTCTCAACAGGTCAGAGCACATACAGTTTATATTAATATAATGAAGTATTGTTATTTGGTGGTTCTCCACTCAGACTGGTTGCATTGAGAATTGCTTGCTTGTTTGTTCATGGTTGTCACTCCTAATTATTTGATAATATGATCAAAGAAGTATCAACTAGTTTGCTTCACCCAATGCATTCCATTCACACTAATTATTATTATTGATATTTTTAGGACAATGGATATCACCGACTGTCACTGGAGACAGACCACCTCCTATTGATAAATTCACTTTAACATCAATTAATGATTCCAGTGCTATATTATTTGGAGGTAGCATTGCTGATGGAGACAGTAACAATGTGTATATTCTTAATTTTACTGATACATCAGTGGTGAGTGTATTATTAGTATAATTACATTAATTAATAATTAATAATGCATTGTATGGGTGTACCATATAGCAGGTATATTCCGTCAGTGCTGTTTAATTTTGTTCTTTTTTGTTCTCATTCCTTGTGGAATGAATATTTTCCAAGCGAAAAAGGTGTTTCCTCAATGCCACATGTGCAAAATAGCTATTCAGAATAAAAATGAAATGAACTGAAATTTCTAATCCTGCTTAGAATAAAAATTTTCCAGACGAAATATACCCGCTATACAGTATTGTTATTCATAACATTGAGTTTATGATGATTAATTTTTATTATTTTAGAATTGTTCAATGTTATCTAATCCTGGAGGATCAGTACAATGGCCAAGGAAAAGAGGTGCTCATTCCAGTGTATTGATTAACACTAGCTCAGGACCACACCTACTAGTGGTGGGTGGAATTGTTAGTTATGACATTTGGATATTTGATATTAACAATAAATCATGGAAGGAACTGGTAAGTATATTATAATATAATAACAATACATCATAACTGGTTATTATTATGTACTAGTGATCAAGTATTGTACTTATGTATGTTATACTGTATAATGTAAATAATTAATAATTACTGAAAGAATGGTTTACATTAAACTGTATAGCATTAAATTTTAGTTGTGAAAAATTTTTTGCCAATTTTGTCAATGAAAATTATATTCTATAGTATGTGTACATGTATATGGCTGATCGTAACGGTTTGTTGAAAGTTTTACTGACAAATACTGGAAAAAAGGATTTTTTTCCCATAAAAACTTGTTGTTATACAGTTTATGGTGGGCTTATAGTTTGTGGGCGTGGTTTGGAGGTTTTAATACACAGTACAGTAATAGATTCATTTTCATTGAAAGAACAAATAATACACAAATAACGAAATTAATTATCATTAATATTTAAATTAGTCTATTTCTTCTTTTATAGGTTAATATACCAGACAATGTGACTAAGAGATTTTATCATTCTCTCTCAGTTTGGAGTGTGACTCCAACCACTAACTGGATAATTGTGTTTGGAGGAATGAGAGACTTGTTCATAACACTAAGTGATCCAGCAGTTATTGAACTCAGTGAGTACATGCAAATACAGTACAAATGTATTGAATGTACACAATGTGTACATATTGAATATAATAATTATAAATTAAAAGTATAGCATTTTGTTTTATTAACTGACATACATGTAATACAGATATTATATTAATTAATAATATACATGTACATGTAACATGTACTTGTCATTAATTCAACTATTGTGTTACTGTATAGGATATACTAGTAATAATGATTGGTCTACTAGTATAATACCTCTGGACCAGTATCAAGAGAAACTACAAGAAAGGAGAAGAGAATGGGAAGCATCTCAACCTGTTCAACCTGAGGATAGAAGAGAAATAGACCGTCTGACATGTGTACTACAAGAAAGGGAAAGGGAACTAGAGGAGGAGAGAAGAGAAAAGGAACAAGTTAGAAACAGACTACAGCAACAACTTCAACAAGCACAGCAACAGCTTCAGTCAAGAGAGAGAGAATCTCAAGAAAGAGAGCGACAGCTTCAAAGGCAAGTAGAAGGTGGCCAGCAAAGAGAACAGGATCTTCAACGACAGCTTCAAGAAAGAGAGCAACAGCTTGAGGAAAGAGAGATGTTTTTAGAGCAGCAACTAAGAAAGAGAGATAGATCTACTCCTCTTCCTCATTCTTCAACAAGTATAAATAAATTATTTCAATTGTTTATTTATTTAATATTAATCAGATCCTACTACCTCCTCCTCCTCTAATGTAGTACATGAATCAACGTCAGTATCATCCACTGGAGGAGCTAGTAAGTGATAATACTGTGTGTGTGTGTATACTGACCTTTGACCTCTATTAGGTCCATCAGCTACTGTTGATGTCAATAAAGTAAAGAAAGTGATTGATGATGTTCTTGTATCTCATTATGCTGCTCTCAATTCTTTGCCTAAGAAGTCTCTTACTGGTCTTGTCAATCAGTTGTACACAGCTAAGCTTATTAGTAATGAAGTTAGAGAAGCTCCTTCAATGGAAGAGTGCATTGATGAGTTCAAGGCTAGTCTTAGTTTTAAGGAGGAATTACCTCAAGTGCAGGAGCACTGTCAAAAGTTCTTAAGCTCTTTCATTGCTGTAAAAGGCAGTTATGCTGATGCAGCAAAAGCCTTAGTTAAAGCTATTAGAAAAGAATTGGGATTTGATTTTATTAATATTGATGATTAGTAATAATTGATGATTAGTAATAATTTTAATTGATCTTGTTTGATTCATTTATATTATACTGTATGACTCCAATAAAACTTAATTTGAAGAATAATTCGGGCGAGCCTGAGTGAGCTCCATTCTAGCAGTACAAATACTGGATGTTTTCCAATGGATGTTTTTAAAATTGACATTCCTTTTAAGGTGATATTCCTTCTCTGTAAAGGCTCTTTGTCTTACTGAAGCTCACCACAAGTTAAATCCCACTCGAAACCTGGGAAATTAAAAAAATATGTGTGCATTTGGTTAAAATTATTTACATACATGATGGTATTAATGCATTGGGTTTCACAAAAATGATTTTTTTAAAAACAAAGATATTAATGTCAATTTTAAAGCTATTAATAATATAAATTATGTACATAATATAACCAATTGACTATATCAATGTATTACTGAAGTACCTTGGATTGCAGGTATCTGGTCTTACAAAAAAGTCATACTCAAAATGGCTCACATAATCCACACGTCCTAAGTTACCTACAGCAACCATCAGTTATTTGTAATAATTATTATTGGTCTCACCTCCTTCAAAACAAGCATCAAAGAGCAAGTGCCCTTTATTAATGGGGCCTTTATAGCAGTCTGGGAGAGGAATATAGTGAGAGACGTTACCCACAAAATCTCCTTTAGATGAGCTTTCCATTTTGTCCATTAGATTTATTTCTCCTTCTGAATCTTCTCTGTCAGAGCCTCAGAGGATTTCAGAATCCCTGATCAGCAGGCGGCCATT